AACATGCTGGTGGTGCCTAAACACTCAATCTGTCCTTGGCTGATTTCTGCTGCCATTGTAAGTGGGTATCACAGCAACGGGCAAGTGAATGATCATTTGCTTCTACAGGGAAATGTTTCTGATGGTTGCGACAGCTGCACCAAAGTTAGAGCCAGACACAACATTTTTGGTGAATGCCAATGTACCCAAAAATGTGACTTCAGTTGATTTAAATAACAAAAATAATGATTTTCTGTTAACTGCATTGGATGTCTTGGCTCAGATTTTTTCCTCTGTGGTCAGATTCCCAAACTAGTGAGGAGAAGAGGTGAGTCTCTGCTGTCCCCCGAGCTGCAGGGGTTGGAGCACTGTGCCAGGGTGCATAACACACACTCCCAGTGTCTCCTCGGGGGAAGAGGGGGAGATGCTCAAAGAATGTTCTAACTATTTGGCTCTCTGTACAATGCTGGTAATTAAATGCTTCAAGAAAGCAAAGTTAAACTTTCTGTTTAATGTGAAAAATAATAATTTTTCTTCATTTGGAAAAAAAATGTACTTTGGTTCAGATATCCCCCCTCCCTTATTTACTTCCCTTTTTCTGGCTTGTAGGAGTGGCAAAGCAAAAAAGTCAAGAAGCTGCACACTTGCTTTGAAAATATCTTTGACAGGTAATTGGTATGTAACTCTGTCGATGCAATGAGCAATAGCAGCACACTATAGCTTATCAGCAATCAAAAAGAGATTTCTGGAAGTAGAATGGACTGCAACCCATCACTGGCACAACAATTTCCATTTAACTTGCTCCTGTACCTCCTTCTGAATTTTTAATATTCTGTAACTGAGGTTGTCATTCTCCAGGATCCCTCAGTCCCAAGAACTCCAAGATAATCCCTTGCTTATTACTTAGTCAGAGCAGCATGCTCTCATTTAAGATTTGAAACAGACCACAGGATAAATATTTATTATTATTATTATTTAATTTTTAAGCATCTTTGATATCAGAGAAGGCTTTTTTGATTAATTTAAGAATACACAAAACTAAAAAATTTGCACATCTGAAACCCTTTCTTTTGCTGCTATCATAAAAGAAAGAAATTGAAAGGAAGAAAGAAAACCATACATTGATTTTCAAAAAAGTCTTTCTTGAAAGTTGACCATAGGTCAACTAGACAGTATATCTGCCCCATGTTTACTTTTCACAGAAACCTTCTCTGTCTCATTAGTAGCCTTCAAATGTACAAAGAGTGAAAGCTAGCTGCAAGCCTGAGCTGCAAAATCACACTGGCACTAGTGCCTTCAACTTCAAAGTTTAGTTATTTTCAACAAACTTTTTGGCAAACCCCCTAAACTTGCTAGCAAGTGTGTGCTACTACTGCTTTCCATCTGCCTCCAGAAACCAAGCTTGGTTGGAGAAGGTGTTAAGTAAAAGCTGTACAACAAACCAAGGATTGAAACAGGGGGATTTAGAGATAATATTTCTTTCCTTATCTTAACAAATTTCAGTTTTCAATAAATGTGACTTTCTGTTCCTTTATCTTTGTCACATGTCTGTCTGTACTTAGAATTTAAGAAGAGAACAAAAATTGCAGAAAACACATGCTCTGACTGGTGAATTTAAACTTAATTCTTTACTTTCAGATTTTTCTCACCCACACTCCATATTTGTACTGCTGTCACCATGTATTTGTTGTCATTCAGAGGTCTAATGTGGGAGCCATCCAGATGTGCTTCTCTTACTCTGTACCTAGTCGATATATTTAATCATTCCAGTGTCCTCAGTGTTACAGACTCTGTGTGTGTGTGCTCTGCTGATGAAAGTCACAAATACACTTTTACAAATCTACAGAAGACACAGTCTAATGAAGTACCCCACCAAAAAAAATCAGTGTTTTCTGGCAGAGAACTCATAAGCAGCAATGCTGTATTTCATTCATCACTAGGTTATCAAAAAGCCTAAGCAACATCTATCTGGACTCCAAGCTCAGAAACAACACTTGCAGGTAGAACTATCTCAAAAACAAGGATCTAGAGAGTATTTAAATAAAAAGAAGGCTGATAACGTGTATGTATTACATTGCCTCATTAAAAAAAGATATATCTGAAGGTGGTTGATTACTAGAATCAAATTTCTCTTTTAAATGACTCTAGTGGATTTCTTTTCTTTCTATCAGATTTTATAAATATTGTGATTGTTTTATAAGATTGATTGTCAAATAGTGTCCTGGGTTTGAGTGAGTGATGGGTTTTTTTGTTAGCAGGGGAGGGGGCTATAGGGCTGGCGCCCTGTGAGAAACTTCTCGAAGCTCCCCCAGCCCCAAGTCAGCTCCACCTCTGTTTGGAAGCTGAGCCCATCAGCTGCGCCTCTGCGATAACTTATTTAAGAAGGGACGTGGTGAGGAGGAGTCAGACTTGGGAGGAAGAGTTGCTACAGCTGCATGAACACCAAGGTCAGTGGAGGAACGGAGGAGGAAAGGAAGGGGGAGGTGTGCCGGAGCAGAGACCCCACTGTATCCTGTGGTGAGACAGCAGGGCGGCCCCCCCTGCCACCCATGGAGATCTACGGTGGAGCAGACATTGATTTATGGCCTGTGAGGCATTTTGCATGGATGACCAAGGTGACTGTGCCCAAAGGAGGCCAGGATCTTGGGGGGAAAAGTAGCCCCACTCTTGTAGTTCAGTGCTGGGAGGATTGCAGCATGCGGGGGAGTCCCACACTGGAGCAGCTCAGGAAGGGCTGCAGCCGTGGGAGGGAATCCAGTTGGAGGAAGTTGGTGTCCCACACCAGAGCAGTGTGGGGAACGCTGCGGCCCATGGGAGGGACTCATGTCAGAGGAAGTTTGTGGAGGACTGTCTCCTGTGAGAGGGGGACCACGATGGAGCAAGGGGAACAAGTTCCAGAAGCTCCCCCCACTGAAGATGGAAAAAGAGGCAGCACTGACTGCACCCCCCCGTTCCCTGCCCCTGAGCCACTGGGGGAGGAGGTAGAGATATCGGGAGCTGAGATGAGCCCAGGAAGAAGGGAGGGGTGGGGGGAAGGTGTTCTCAAGATGTGGCAACACTTCTCACTGTCCTACTCTGTTAAGTGTTTTTGTTAGTGTCTGTAATAAATATACATTCTTTTTTTTCTTCCTCCAATGAGTCTGCTTTTTGCCCGTGACCATAATGGGTGATCTGCCCCTCCTGGTGCTATATCAAATCCCAAGCCTGGCTCATTTGTTCCTTCTCATTGCTGGAAGAGAAGGGAGAAGTGAGCGGCTGTGTGGTGCTCAGTTGCCCTCTGAGCTCAAACCATGACAAATATAAATAAATTTTTAACTATAAATATATAAATAAAACTTAGCAATAAGTCTGGTTTTATGAACAGTTTAAGATTCTATAATTTGTATTCACTGGGCAGACAGGTGATTAAAATTACACTATACAGAGGATCCATTGCACAACTGTCATTTGGACATGTTTGCAGAAGAAATGAGTACATCGAGGGCACAGTTAATACTTTCAATAGGATCAGAATCACCTTCTAAGTAATGCAGCTGCAGGAGCATGGTTTGTTTTGTGTAGTTACAGCATAACAAAATCTGTTTAATTCCCTACCTGACATTTTCATTTGCACATGGGAATCCACCAGTGGTATTCAGCAGGAGCCAAATAGTCAAGGAAACCGAATTGCCAAGAATTTGTATGATATTTTCTTTGCAGTCATGCATTTTTGGTTTTATCTTAGTGGTTTAAAAGTTGAATCATGGCTATCTTATTCATACGGAGTAATACTTCATTCTTCAAGCAGACCCCTAGAAGTCAGTAGAACTGCTCTGAAAGTAAGTCAGTCTACTACATTGATGTATGACATTCCTATCACATCTGGAATTTCAAAGCTGGTGCAATAATTTGGTAGATATTTTAGGAACATAATCCCGTGCAGGTATAAATTGGCAGAGCACTAATTCATCTGACTTCCAACAGAAGTATTTCAACTTACCTCGGCTGAGAAGCTAATCGAGAGTATTTACATAAGTGTGTAGAGCAATATAAGAAAAAGCCTTTCCCAAAGTCTTACAGAGAGAGTATGTGGTTTACATTTAGCCCATCACCCTACGGTATTAGGCATGCAAGCAGACCACTGCACCACTCCAAGTCCAAAGAAATGTTATGATTTTCCAATGACCAGTGTCAACTTGTGTCAGATAAAGATAAGCAGTGAAACTCTGAAGCTGACTTTGTAACATTCTTGTTTTCCAGTAGCACAGTGTTGTCAAAGGCATCCAGAAAAATATTGATTTTCACATTCAGAATAAAAGGAAAGATTAATGAATTTTCAAGAGGAGGACAAATGCACAGTATGTGTCCCTCACTTGAGGTTATGTCACAGAAAGATTTGTGTGACAGAAAGGAACGAAGAATTTTTTAATATTTATATTATCTTTAGAAGTCTCTTTGTCTCTTGAGGTCCATTTTATCACATTATTAAAAAAAAAAAAAACCAAAAAACAACTGACCAGAAGTTTGTGGTTCAATACAGACACTGAGAAACTGTTTTCCTTCACTCCACACACACACAGAGCAGATTAAAAAGGCATTTTCAATGCTGTGATGCATTTTTTAATTGTGAAATAGAAAAGTGTTTTTTTTTCCCAGTTAATAAGACCTTATTTACAAGATCTGCAGCTTTCTCCCACACACTGACAGTATATAGACAATGCCATATGCAGTGGTGAACAGTAGTCTGTTATTTTAAGTTTTGCTTCATTATCATAACAGAGTATTACGCTTTTATATGTCATCTTGCAGGCAATTAATATTTATATCAGCCATGCATGATGCTTATTTCTTTTTCTTAGCATTAAAATAGGACTTAATTAACTCATTTTTATTGAAATTTGACTTTACTGCACATTAGCCACAGTTATTGCTGTAAACATGTAAATCACTGCGAAAGCACTTATTTTTGTTATGGAGTATATTACTCACTTTATATTCCAGAATGCCTGCTGATTTACTCCTTGAGCTGAATATGAAAATTTAACTTAATAGTCCCAAATGTAGCTTAAGGGATCTGAATCCATAATAAAAACATAACTGGTGAACTCTCAGTTTTCCCATGATCTGCTTTTTTGAGTAACCTGTTATAAAAAAAAAAAAAAAAAAAAAAAAAAAAAGCTGAGTCTGGCTTACAGGAAAATTTTCCAAGCAAAGGGGTGTAACCGATTAGTACCACCTGTGCCACATGCCTCTGCACTGACTCCAGGGAGCCCAGAAGGGTGCAGGAGAATGTGGAGCTTGGGAACAGTTTTTGACTTATTTAGAGGAAAGGTGGGACAGGAATTTTGGGGGCCACATTGCCACATAGCAAAATTTTATGAAAGCCATTGCAAAACTCTCCTTCCATAAATTTTACATGCTATTCTACCTGTATTTCTGCAAAACCTATTTATTTCTTCTTTACAAGGGACTGTGAATTAAACAGCATAACAGTAACTCCAGCACTGAGCTAAAAAGTGATATAAACTTTCAGTTAGCAAAATCACATACTCACAACTGTCCTTTATAAAGGCCATGTCTATTATTGTTATCAGTTTATGAATTGAACCTGGTAACTGCATATAGATTGGTTGAAATAAAGTATGGCTTCAATAATGAGGAAAAGAGTAACTTCCTTATTTTCTAAGAGTTTGTCTTCACATTCCCTATAGGAATTTTTGTTTTGTCTCTCATATACACGAGTCTGGAATTGGTTGGCAAAGGAAACTCTGTTACCATTAATATTTTATTGAAAATTCACATTTTTATTTTTCTGCAGCAAGATCTACCTGTGTGTTCTCAATTTTGCCAGTTAGCCTTTTCTTTTTACTTGGCAGGCAAACTCTCTGCACATTGTTGTTCTACTGGGAATATAGCTTTTCAGTGGGTGTACTTATTTAATTACTTTAACTAAATTATTCCTTCCATTTCATCAGAAGTCTATGTAATTTATGTGTTCTGCAAATTATTAATAAAATGCTTATAATACATCTTAAATAGTAATGCCTATAGATTTTTTTCCCTTTGGAAAATAATTATCTTTTTCAAGATATCTATTGTATCAAAATCACAGACCCCTCTAGCTTTCCACATAAAAAACTGCAGACCAACCCATAGCATTCCTCATGGGTCATCTGTGTCCAAACCTGGGATGTACCTGAGTGCCAAAGCCCAGAATATCATTACTTCTGTCTCATTTTATAGTCAAAAAGGAGAATGACAGCCTTTTACAGAAAGGTGAAGGGTAGCCTGCATCCCCTGATGGGTTTGACCATATGTCTCCATTAACTATACAGACACTGGGGTCATAGGTTACACAATCACATGCTTGTAAAGGACTTCATAGATTATTTAACTCATCTAATTATGCTTTTAACTGAAATATTTTGGAGAAAAAAAATAATCTGTGGATCATCTTATATAATATTTTTTTAACTTGCAGGGAAAAAAACAAGTTTTGACTGATATTCAGATTTTAATTTTTTTTCAAAGTTTATCTGTGTATAATAGGATGGGTTTGTATGGGTCTTGTTTTTATGTTACAATCATTCCACTTAGCTTTTGATATTTTACAGACTACAGGCTGATTGATCAACACAGATTCTTGCTCTGATGCACAAATAACTGTACCCTTGTCAGTGCTGATAAATATTTATCTAATCTTTTCTAAAAGTCCTCCAGGCATGGAGATCCCTTATTGTCACCTGAGACTCTAATCCTTTGGTTTATTCTTCTAAATGTTGAGAGTTTTGTTCTAATATCTAACCTGAATCCTCCTTACTGAAATTCAAGCCAAATATCTTCTATTCATCTGTCAGTTTATTTATTTGTCACTTGGGATCTGCCTTAACAAATTTGTAACTCAAATTATCTAAGTACTTCTACTCCTTCCCTTCTCCATTCAAGGGGATGACATTTTCCCTGCCCTCACTTTTTACTACTGTCACAAGCCATTTGTCTATAATTGGTAGAACTATCTTTTTGGTATAAAATAGTGGGAAATCCTTTAAACCTTTAGTTTTTCAGCATCGTCTCACAAAAGGAACATAAGGAACAAAAAACCATTCAGGCCATCATGATTGTGTGACTGGAAGTGGCCAATAGCAACTGCTTAGGAAAAAGGATAAGGCAAGCAGAAATCATACTTCTCTTAATATCACACCTTCTGCCTTTGAAAAACTACTTGGAAACATACAGAGTCAAAAACTATATCCCTATCTTTTTGTTTAATGTCATTTTCTGGATTGTATTTCAAGCCATGGTCCTAGGACAGTGAGTCTTGAGATTTATATATGCAGTGTAAGGAAAATATTACTTTTCCATCTAATCATATTTGCGCCCCAGTTGGCATATTATAGCAAAAGTCATGTTATATTGACCTGCCCGGTACATTCACAGGTTCATATATTTCTACCACCCACTCCCCCCCATTCATCTTTCTGTGTCTCCCCCCAGAGAAGCAGAGGGGTGGCAGGTGAGCGGGGGTGAAGGGCTGCACCCCCCAGCAGGGGTGGGCAGAGCAGGGCCGGTGGCCATGGACCCCCCAGAGCTGAGCCCGCGGGGTGAGGGGAAGCCCCAGCGGGGTCTCTCACAGCCCTGTCTCGAGACATAGCTCTATTCACAAAGAGAAACACAGCAAATGCACTTGGCCTATTTATGGGTGTATGGGTTTTACTGAGTGAGTGGAGCATTAAAAAACAACTTATTTTTTTTACAGTATCATAACACTTTTCTGTAAATGTAAACTTTCACCACTTTCAAGACTTCTGTAAATACAAAAGCTTGTGATCTGCATTTCCCATTTCTACCTTCTGTTTGCAGAAATATGTATAGATTTCATGGAACTGGCAATGTAATTGCTTAAATAAAATTAACTAATTTTCAAGATTCCCATTGCAGCACGATGACCAAAATAACATGATTGCTTTTATGAGCTAGTAAGAAATAGCTAAATTTTCATCAGTGACGTATATTCTCAGTTAGTAGCTCCTTAGCAACTGAAATAATATTCCCTGTAGAGAAATACAAAAATTTGAAAATGGGATGTCTAGCTGATATTTGCCCAAGGTGTAAAACATAAATCAAATTTTCCAAGACTTTGACATTTTTATGTATCTATGCTATTTTGAGCCAACAGCTTAACCGAGGCTCAGTTTTGTTTCACAGTACATTTTATGCATAATGCAATATGTGCAAACTTGTTTGAAGAGGGAATACTGCCCAGTGTTAGCACAGGGAATTGACATCTTTTGGTAATTTACTGGGATAATGTACTGTTAGGTGCTACATTTTCAGTGACTGAACATATATATAATTATATAGCAATGTTTTAAACTCATCATAATTAGCAAATGATGAAGAATACTCATCATTTTGGAAAGTAAAAGCTTTTTAGTACAGCTGTAATTTGTTAGTATTTTTTGACATTTTTTTTAAAAAAATCATACCATATAAATATGGCACATGATACAATGTTACTTTCTTTTCCTTAATCAACTCCGCTCTCCAGGTGTAGCAGGACAGAGCTCTCTGCAAAAATTTCTGCCCAGTTTTAATTTCGAAAGTCTCTCACTCTCCAAAGAAGAATGAGCTAGTGGAATTAAAAACACATCAAGAGTGGGAAAAAAGTGTGATATGTTGCAGCATCAGTTCCTTAGGCTCCATACTGCCTGGTATTTCAAGGTATTCTCACTTGCACCAGGGCTTTATTGATCAGGCAACAAAATCAGAAAGCCATATTTTGCCTTCCTGATGGATCCAGATACAGTTGTCCCTCCTCAAAGAGATACAGGAGGGATAACTCACAGATACATCTCTGTGTATGCTGTGTGCAGTATGATTTTCACAATCTTTCTATAAAATTTGTACAAAATTTTATAAACTTATGACTAATAAAATGACAAAGATTTATAAACTCATTATGACTAATAAATAATTTCTACTAGCAAGAATTGTTTCAAAAGCAAAAATGGTCTAAATTCCATTTCCATCAAGTTTTTTAGGCTGTCTTACCTACCTTCATCTTTCTTTGACCTTTGCACACTGAAAATCATATTATATGGCCATTATTCTTTCAAAGTATCACTATGAGTCAGTGTCATTTCCTTCAAATTGAGTACATCTTTGGAGATATTTTCTCTTTAATCTTGAAACAGTCATAATATTTGCTCTTTTGTCAACAGTAAAAAACCCCCACCATTCAACTTTACTATAAAGGTGTATCGGAGCATCTGTTTGAACACTCTGGACTTGATAGCTAACGGGAAATGAGAGGGACTGAAACATTCCTTTACTTGCTCCGTTTGTACTACCAAAGCTTCTAGATGAACTGATAGCAGTTTTCCCATCATTGTGAAGAGGCTTTAATATGCTATGCTGTGATTTAATTGTCTGACAGTGTGACTCACTTGAAATGGGATCTCTTCTTGTAGCCCATTTATTAGTGTGAAGACATGCTTGGTGCTGAAAATGTTGCTAAGAGCTTGCTTGTCTTTAGGTGTTCCAGATTGGTGGTGAAATTTTCTTTTCACTGTGCATATTTAACTTCCATTAAAATTAATGAAAATTGAAAAGATATACAGTGAGCAAAAATATAAACATAAGAGCACATATTCAGAACAATGAAGCCAGTTAAATGAGAATATTAAGGAATAAGTTAGAACATCCCAAGAATTGGCAAGCAACTTCTGTAAAAATCCTGAAGTATTTTTCTTCTCTTCCCCAGGTCTGAAACTAATGGACAAGGTCTATAATGAGATACGTCATCCTCAACTTTGGCACACTGAAGACTTCAGTACAGTAGCTCACAAAGATCCTGTCCCAGGATCTGAAAGCTGGTGGTCACTAAAGGAGCCAGAAAGCAGCCTCCTACTTCAAATACACTAGAAGTATTTTAGATTAAAAGTTGCTCTTGATCTACTACTCTAAAATCAAAGAGAATGCTACAGTTTCAAACAGTAAATATTTTTCTATACTGAGTAGATCATCTATAGCTATGTTTAGATCAACACGGCATTCTTTTTTAGTATCAAGGATAAAAACAAGCAGTTTATCATGATGAACTACACACTAACTGGGGAGAAAGAGGGTAAATCCTGCAACT